GCGGCTCTGTAGTTTTGTGGGTCGAAGACGTACGGTAGAGGAGATCGTCCAAGTGGAACGAAACTAAAATGGACAACGGCGTGTATTACTAAACGAGTGCTCATTGCGGACGAGAGAATGTCCATTTTCGGCTATCAGCCATTGAATACAAGCGAACACGGTAACCCACATTCGTGGGGCAATATTTTCTATTGGGTTACCTTAGGTAGCTATAGATCAGAATGTTGGTAGCTCGAGCAGCATAGATGGTCGTTGAATTGTTCGCTGAGCTGGGCAATTCCGTTGCAGACGTTTCATCACCAACCGAGGTGACATCATCAGTGCGTTATTAGAGGTCTTAGTGGAGCGGAGCTATTTGTCGGTGGTTGTAACCTGAGTGGTGTTTTGTGTGTGTGTGTGTATGTGTGTGTGTGTGTGTGTGTTAATATACGTGCTGCCAGCCGGGGTTGACTTTCGATCACGATTAGTTGTTCAGTCTGTCGGCTCCACTGGTCGCTCTACCATCCATCATCAACATCATCATTGTCAGCTGCAATAACCGCGTACTCGTCGTACAGTGGTTGTAGCTGCCGTAGTTTCGTTCACCGATGATTTTTTTTGGGGGGGGGTGGTAGGTAGCTCTACCATCCTGTGTCCTGATTGGTCGATGACCACATGACCTTTGAGCCTCCTATGTCCCCGTGTTCTGAACAATACTGGAGTAAACTCTGTCTTTGACCTCTCTGGGTTCCGGTTTGTGACCTTTGTTGATCCGACTCAAATAGACACCCACGGATCAGATCCAAAACTACAACAGTAAGCATCCAGTGAACCACAAGAAGAGCTGCGTCCACACCCGGTTCAAGAGAGCAGAGGCGCATCGCAGCACCAAAGAATTACGGAAGAAGGAAAAACTTCTATCCAGAGTATTCCAGAATGATTAACATTTAAGGAATTTTATCAAGCGAAGCTTGAAGGAGAAAAGCTGTCAGCAGCAGTAACAGAGAGAATAAGCGATCAGACGGATCGTTTTAACTTACATCCAGAATATATCTGAACTCACAACCAGATTATTGACCAGGGGAGGAATCGTCGTGGCCCACAGACCGAATGCGACGTTGAGGAAACTGATCTCCAGACAGAAGGACAACCGAGGCAAAACCAAGAGGAACATGTGACGTACCAAATAAACGGTAACAAATTCTACTTTGGACAAGCTCGGAGGAAATTATGCACATGAATAAACGAACCAAATGCGGCCGTCAGGGGGCTTGACCCTCTATCTTTGATATCTATACACGAAGACCAAGAAGGTCACAAATTCAATCTGGAAAACGTGAAAATTTTGGTATACGGAGACACGAGACACGGAGAGGAATTTCTGGAAGCATGGGACTCCACTGCTGATTCTATCAACCGATGCATTGAACTGGACCCAATTTACGCACCACTAAGTGCTAAGGACCAAGTCCTCCACCGGAATACTCAACGCGAGCCAAATATCGGATTCACGAGTCAAGAATCAAAGAACTCCTTGGAGTCGGACCAACAAAAGTCACAAGCCGGAACCCAGAGGGGTCAAATACAGAGGTTACTTTAGCATCGATCAGAGCACGAGGGCATGGGAGGCCAGGCTCAAACGTCAAGTGGTCATCGATCAATCAGAACACATAATGGCAGAACAACCAATGGAACCAACCAACCGAACAACTAATCGTGATCGAAGATCAGCCCCGGCTGGCAGCACGTATATTAACACACACACACACACACAACCACACACACAACACCACTCAACGCATAAACACCGACACCTCGCTACGGTCCACTAAGCTCTCTAACAACGCACTGGTGATGTCACCTCGGTTGGTGATCAAACGTTTGCAACGGAATTGTCCAGCTCAGCGAAACACACACACACACACACACACACACACACAACACCACTCAACGCATAAACACCGACACCTCGCTACGGTCCACTAAGCTCTCTAACAACGCACTGGTGATGTCACCTCGGTTGGTGATCAAACGTTTGCAACGGAATTGTCCAGCTCAGCGAACAAATCAACGACAAAGCCAAGCTAGTCTGATCATATGGGAATACGTCTTACTCCGTTGATGAACTAAGCTGTCCAGTTTATTTATCCAACCGGCTGTTAAGTTATTCAGGTAGTTCGTGAACTGTCAGAGTGTCTCAATTAAATATTTATCGGTCTTCTGAGAGCACTTGATAAATACCGCGGCATGCACCTGGAATTCTACCGGATGATTATTTAGATAATGAAGGTGTGGTCCGATCGTTAAAAGCCTGATCATACAAACTATTTTTGTACTTATAGGGTTCCACAGGGTAGGTGTAGAGCAGTCGTTTTCCTGACCATTCCGTTCTGTGGCTTTTGAGGAGCGGACCGCATAAACATCCGGTCGAATTCTGAGGCATGGTTCAAATGCGTATACTTCTGATGAAACATGTGAGTAGCATCTGGTCGGGTGTCGAAGTGCCTTCCGTTTCTGATGGAAAATTGGTGCAGGAATTATGATACCTCTTTGCGGTGCTCGTTCATTATTGTTCGACATTTAAAGAAAGCCTGAGAGGAATGTTCACTTTTCAAATACTCTGCGCAAATGGAAGGTTCACTTTCATATTCAACAGCTTGTGATCGGCTAATCCGTGTCGCTCAGTAGGTGCCTCCGAACTGAAGGCCTTTCTTTTCAGTGCTACCCATCAGAGCGTCCACACCAATTTTCAGATTTTCTAAATGAGTTCACGAGTGGCTGAACGCGGAAAGACATTCTAAAGTTTGCAACTTTCATCTGGACTTAGCCTGACCAAAATAATTTATCAGCAGAGCGTTGCACTACTACGGAATGTTGATTTCTACCTGAGAAAGATACCCGACTCTTCCTAGAAGCTTATTCTGGGCGAAAGTAATGGGCCACTCTGGTTTTCCTGATTTCTTTCTCCGACAGCCGTATGTTCAATCTACGAAACCCCAATTGGACTTTCATCTTTAATTGTTATTAAATTAAGTGATCAATGTTAAATTAATTGAGCAACTGATCAGAATTCATGTGTCAGATCAGTCCGGAAGTTGCACAAAATCGACCTTAAACATTCGTAATTGGTTACGGCTTCCCGTTCACTCGACCTGTTGCATCAACAGGCTTAGGTATGAGTTCATCGAACTTTTGACATCGATCAACCACGTGATATTCTTCGGCCGGCTAAATATTTCACCAGCAGCTTCTCTGAATTCAGATGCCTGGATAGTCCGTGGGTAAAACAACAAGCTTTTTAGATGTAGATAGGATTGATGTAGTTTCAGAAAGGGTGCTTAGATTTCTTCATATCATCTACCTGTTACCTGAAAGTGATTGATGAGTCATCGTCATTCATCCATTGTTTCACCAAAGACCATGCCGTCAGTTAGAATGGATCCAGCCCTTTAAACAGGCTTTCCTGTTCCGCATCTAAGGTGGGCTACACGGCCCGCATATTAGAAACTAAAAATCATGGCACAGTCAGTCAGTTGGTAGGGGTTATCATATTTGAGCGGTCCAGAGCGGAGATGGTAGTAGACAGTCAAGCAGCGGCGTCCTTACGGTAGCTACATATCATGTAATGGTTACGTAACACAATGACCCCTTACAAAATACCAGCTAGAATTACCCTTGTAGCAACGGTAGAAGGGCAGCTCGTGCGCTTTGTCATCAGCTACTGTTACAGTATATCTATTGCTACGTGCAAGCCATCCTAGCTTGAACTTTTTAGAAACCGGAAACAAAACTACTGACCTGGAATGGAAGACGTGAGTTCTGATGTTGAGATCTACAACAGAAAGCACAGGACTACTGGATGCAAGATATCTGTGCAACTTTTCAGCCGACGGGTACATCTTTTGAGGATCACTTTAACTACGCTTGCGAACATCCTAGAACACTTCGACGTATTAATGAAAGCATGAAACTTGGATCATGTTTGCATCAAGTTTCGCCCTGTCTGACGCTTACCACTTATGGTTAGATCAACAGAGCCGAGTTAATAAATATGGGTCCTGCTGACGGAACACTCTCCGACAGCAAACTGCATGTTTCGCCCTCCTTGGGACGCATCAAGTGGGTGTAGTCGTTGTATTCCCGTCAACCCTACATTCTGCTTAACCCTAAGTTGAACGGAATTCCCTAGATATCCTCATTCATAAATTAGGTTCGCGTTGATGTGAGATTCAACCGAATCCCAGCCGGATCATCCGCCTATGAAGGTCCTCTTTAACTGCATGTGCTACGTAAACAAGGCATCAGCGGTCAGTTTGTACGATATTCCAGATATCGCATCAAATTTCTTTGAAGGAACGCACCACTCATAAGGTTGCTGAAAACGTGGGTCATATTTCAATGGTTTCCCTTGTCCAACTTCCGAACACACCTGAACAACATACCATGTACTATATCTTTCAGCATTGTCCAAAGAGAAAATCCAACAATTAGCTCTTGTGACTGTCTATATCAATATACCTGTTTCCAACCTGTACACTCACTTGCACATGAATGCTTTTCCATAGAAGACTCAGCAGAATCCAGCTGAATCCCTCGTTTTTTGATGCTTTACTTTGGTCGGAGCTCTCATCAAAACCAAAGTTGGGTGCAAATGAGAGTGTTTGTGGAAATCTGTCCAATTCGGGATCGGGCAGAACACAAAGTTGACGGGAACTCGAGGATTGCAACTATCTGGTGAACGGTCGGTGGCCGTCGAAGAGTTTTCAGCAGCCTTAAGAGTAGTGTATCATGCTTATGCAATCAGTTGCGACATCTCAAATATCTTGCTCACTGAAAAATGAGGCTGCGTGGTGTAGCACGTTCAGTTGAATGGGAACATCACAAACCAGAGATTCAGCTGGGTCCCAGGTAAGTCTCCCATCAAAACCAGGTCGGAATGCAGATGGGTGTACAGGTCAAACTTCAACTAGAACATGAGGTTGGTGGGAACTTGGGGACTGCGCCCACCTGATGAGCCTCGAAGAGAGCAAAGCCTGTCGTGAGCTTTTGAAGAGTCTTCAGCAGTCCCGTGATTGTTGTCTGATTCCAATCAGTTTCAACCACTGCCTTGCTCTACGGAAGCAGTGGAACGGACGCACAAAGGTTGGCGATCCCCGTGAGACACGACAGCCTTTCTCCACAGTGTTCCCTGTTACTCAGAATTCTCAGTTTCCCGAGACCAAATATTGTTGTCTAAACCGTACCACATACTCAGATGTAAAAATTTTGAAACTGAGACGACTAAGGTCTTCGATTTTTTTCCTCGCTCCAGTAACCATCATTGCTAGGCGGTCTAGAGATGATCTGGAGAAGGCAGCGCCGCTGAATACTCCTTTGAAAATCATAAGTGGTACTACCGACAGAACACTTCACATCATGATATACCCGACTCCCCCGTCCTTCGTTGTCCATTGAGTCAGCGTTTTCGATGTTCCGAGAGCATTGTGAAAAGTTTTCTTTTAGTTGCAACAGTTCGTTCGGCTTCGATTTCAACCTCTTAGGAAGAAGGAGGCTTCACGTGGTGCGAACAAGTCTAGTGGAAAGCCAACCAGATAAGCAAATTGATGAGGATAGCTGAAAATGTGTCGAGTCATCTGCAAGTTAGCAAGGCGATTGCCAAGTTCGGCGAACGGATCAATAGTCACCTGATCAGCAACCAAAGTGATAGCTGAACAAGTCTAGTGGAAAGCCAACCAGATAAGCAAATTGATGAGGATAGCTGAAAATGTGTCGAGTCATCTGCAAGTTAGCAAGGCGATTGCCAAGTTCGGCGAACGGATCAATAGTCACCTGATCAACAACCAATAGTGATAGCTGTAAACAGAACCAGGGACTGCATCTGCGAAACTAAATGTGATGATGAGTCATCGGAAGAAATAGCTTACTTAAGAAGCGCATAAAACAAGCCAACAAAACTTTCAAAGTAATCGTCCAGAAAGAATCCATTTCAAAGCGTTTGAATGCCTGCTCCGCTTAGTGACTACACAGAAACTCAACGAAAAACTCGTCCAGAATAAAACTGTTGACGTATTTCAGGCTTGGACGCCGAGGAATTCGAACTCGATCAGCCCAGACTTCCCGGTAAATAAAACTGTTCGATCAGTGAGTCACACAATCATTCGAGTGTATTTTGGTGAAGTTATGGCGAAATCAGGTGAAATCATGATATTTAGAGCATGTGTTCTCGACAAACTATGATCCGATTACCTTCGGAGGTATAGATGATGCTAGTAATGTCTACAGAGTTTGAGCAAATTGTGAAAGCTCAAGTTTCTGGAACACAATCAAGCCTACCGAGCCATAATTTACCCTCCAGAATTATCGAGTCAAGCACAAACAAAGAATTAATGTCCGGAAAATTTACGCGCCAGAAGTCGCTGCTCGACCGTTTGATACTCTACGCACCAATCTAATGCAAAGCTTACTGAGTGCAACGCAGCACAAGTTGGAAACGGATCAATGAGATTCCGGAAAAAGTGGGTGCCAGTTGGCCACTCACAGCTCCATCTATCAGCTGGTCTTCAATAACTATATAAGTTCACACAAATAGGAAGGAATTGCTCAGTCAAACGCGCATTGACAATGTTCCCTTGTAAGCTAACTGCGGCAAATTTCCAATTTCAGATTAAGAGAAGACTGGGAAGAACAGAGGTTTTTCTTATCACAAACACAGTTTGAACAAAATAGTTGTTATTTTACCGTAAAAGCAAACAGATGCCTGAAAGGTGGGAAACTAGACAATGAGCAGGCACAACGGACAGTCGGGATGTGCGCCAGTAATATACTTTTCATATTGTGTTGTACCTATGGGTGTTTGTTTGAGCTAATCCTTAGACATCATCACGTTAACTTTAGTGTGGAGTGAACAGTGATTGTGCAACATTAGGCTGGTGGATTATTTGTCCTTTCCAACTGAATGGTTATCAGGTATGGTGACCGAATTGTCAAGTAAGCCTGGCAACTACGTTGCAAACTTTTCGTCACTCGTCGAAGTGACCTCGTGAGTGCATTTTTCTGAAGCCGACTGGGACCATGCGCTGCTTGCGTGAGTTTATGTACGTTCTTCGGAATGACGTCAAATCTGGCATCTGATTGGTTGCCCTGTTGTTGACATTACTGATTGGGCTTTTAGCTCGTATACTAATTGGTTGGCGATCTCTGAACTTTCAGTATGTGATGTGGAGTAAAGACTCGTGACTGTCGTCTCACTGGGGGACTAGTATGTAACTGACTATCTTCCCATTTATAAAGTGCGTTGCTCATGACTAGCCAGGTTGTTTCATATAAGTAGTCACAGGTGAACTCCTTGGACCTGCAGATTGCGAAATGAGTTCGGCATTTTATACTATACTATTCTACACTATGCTATACTATACTATACTATACTATACTATACTATACTATACTATACTATACTATACTATAATATACTATACTAAATATGTGATGATACTGTAGAAGAATCACTAGTCTTTTACGTTCTTGACTCTCCCGATTTCTTTCTCCTCAAATCTCAGCTGCCTTGTCTTTTCGCACTAAATATTTAGGCTTTTCACATTTGAAATCTGTAACCGAGTACTTTTGTGCATCATTCGAAATCATTGCGTCCGTCAAATTCTACTACGACTGTATCCCAAATGGTCTACGTGAAAGTCTATGCCAGATGTATTTACTTCGCTCTTGCCTACAAGGCAACATCTTTCGACAGCACAGAACTGCGACCTTTTCCAGTGGTCATCAATGGAGAACACCGCTTGGTGCACCTCTGTAGTTGCTCGAGCATGAACTCAGACATTCAGTCTTAAGGTGTTTTCCCAAAATGCTTGCGAAGAAAACAGCCTGGTGCTTTCCCATCCCATGACGGACGGGGGGGGTACTCGATTCAAATTATCGTCGCAGAGAAGATGCATACTGCGGTGATGCACCATCGTCTTATTACCACAACCATAAGCGTACCGACAAGTCCCCCATTCTTGTACACCTGGGGGGCAATTGCGCGAGTACTGTTGAACCCTAGATGTTGCTCACAGATCACTACATTTCGTGACGTTCAGAACTGTTTTCACCTTAGAGGCAAAAGGCACGTAATTCAAACCCGTTTCAAGCTCTCCTTGAAAGCACAGAAGTTTGGTTTCATTGGGTGGGTATGCCGGCGTGATTTACCTGTCACGCCGCAGTAGTCTCGGATTCTCCCTACTCAACCCCAAACAACACAGACCATATCCACCGTCACCAGGCACTAAAGCACGACATTCAGGATTGAAACCGAGGTCTGAGGTGAGCTGCGAATACATCAACTACAGATGGAGTAAAACACTCTGTTTGGTTTCAGCGCACTGACTAGTCTCGACAATAAGCAACATGGTCCAGCTGATGCCTCGACACCAGTTCCGACCAATAGACAGGATAGCCTCGCAGGACGGAGCTGTTGGTCTTCACAGGTGTGTTCCCATTCCAAACGCTTGCGCACACGTTGCCTGACTGAACAACTATTGACCGAGTGCCTCCGAACGGGACTTTTTTCTATTCCTATGAGTTTGTGTACCAGGTTGTTTTAAACCCGAGGAGAGTCACCTAAATCTTAGCTGACTCTCTCAGTTTCACTATTGTTCAACTGAATTTACCGCACAAAACAATCGGGACACTATCAAAATGTGTTTCCTTGAAAGAAACTACTCACAATATTACTGAAACTCGTCGAAATTTGAAGAATATCATTCCACAAAGTAGGTGAAACTGGTCGTGAGCTATGCAAGAGTTCTCTACAAACTTGGGATTAGCCTCCTTCGGGAAAATATGCTGTTATCATGAAGGTCAGCTTCCTGAAAACAACCAGTGAATGCCCGAAATCCACCGAGCCTCTCAGTTCCACTAGATGTTGGCCAGACAGACAACACCCCTCAATATGCAGCGCGTCACAGCCTTGTATCAAACCCAGATACCGCGAGTCAGCGTTGATCAAGGTCAGACAACGCCCCCGCAATATGCAGCACGTCACAGCATCGTACCGAAGTCAGACCGTATGCGTCGCATTTAGTGCTATTTGGGTTCAATTAGGCCATAAGGCGGACGGAAACTCGGGTTGTGCCCACCTGGTTGACCATAACAAAGGTGAAACCGGTCGTGGGCTGTTGAAGAGTTTTCAGCAACCTTGTGAGTAGTTTCCTTCAAGGAACGTGTTGTGTTGTAATGATGGTGGAGCTATTGGGTTACGCCTGCGCTGAGCCTGTCAGACTACGCGATAGGAAGAAGACAAAGAATTGGGGACACGGCTGTATTGCCAGGACAAAATATACAGGGCGTCTGCGTAAATATTAGGATGACTAATTGGCCAAATATGGTCATTCACTTGTTCGCTCCGTACAACCAATGGTGGTGTTCCGGTTGTTAACATTCTCAGGCCCGCTACGCTGGTCGTGTTGCTAAGCCGTGTTTGGTGGGAGCCGCCGACTCACCTACTTTCCGGACGTGTCGTACCGATGGTGACCTTGGGGATGTGTCACTCTCTCCACATGTACTTTTTCTTCTGTCTGGGCGCGCCCTGACAACGTCTATCTCAATGTTCTTTTCTACATTCTCCCACGTCTATCACTCGCATTTTTTTGCGTTTTTGGTCACGTCCTTTAAAACCAAAGGATGAAACAGCATTCTTTTACTCGTAGCAAAAACAATTGGCTATCGAGGACGATATTGATTCCCCATGTGTCAGAGAAGCTACAGGAATTCCAGTTTATCGCCGAGTTAGCTCGCATTTTCGTGGCGTAACGGTATCTGTGGGTCACTGTAGTGCGACAGGATGGATCCTCAGACGATCCTGTCTTCTGGTGAGTTTGGACGAAAACGACACGAAATGTCAACATAGTTCACTCACTATTCTACGTCGCCAAACTCCATTTCATGTGATGGTTGCAATGTGCATATTTTTTTCGTTGGAGAAATGAGGAAGATGAGAAGGTGTCGGGTTTAAAGGACGAGCCATTCAAACCTGTGGACCCACAAATAACGTGGTAGTTAGTGGGCTACCGAATAGTCTTCAGCACCTCATGAGGACGAGCCATTCAAACCTGTGGACCCACAAATAACGTGGTAGTTAGTGGGCTACCGAATAGTCTTCAGCAACCTCATGAGTAGTGTGTTATGTCTAGAAAACAACGATACCTCACACACTGTACCAACTAAAACTTGAAGCGATCTTTGTGCAGTACATTCAGTTGGATAATATCATAAACGGGTTACTCATCTGCATTCGCACTGAGTCGCATTTTAATCCAAAATAGATTTACACTTGACTGTTTAGCTCCACCAAGTTAGGCTACAGATTCTTCCAAGTCGTCTACAATGTGTCTCACTTGATTTTTCCGAACTTTTGGCATCACATATATGGGCTGTGCTACTCAGTGCGCCATCGTTTGTACTAACCGTGAGGCCAGCTACACTCTCTCCTCCAGAGCCCGGCACACACCCTGCAAAGCAGCCGAAAACCCATCACAAATAAATAGTAGTAAATACAAGAAGTGCATATGTGACATAAATGACAGTTATAAATGATTATAAATTCAAGTATATAAATTATGAATTATAAATAACTAAGCAACTAAATAAACATAACCATATATAACACACTCATTTGCAAACTAATTTGGTTTTTTGAGAGGCTCACCTGGAACCCAGCTGAATCTCTCGTTTATGATGTTCTTAGGCAAGTGAATGTGCTGCACCAGGCCGCCTCATGTTTCATTCGCAACGATATTCGAGATATCGCGATACATGTAGATATTCGTAATGCACTACTCATAAGGTTGCCTGGAGATATCACAAACGAGAGATTCAGATGGGTTCCAGGTGAGTCTCTCGAAAGAACCAAATTAGTATGCAAATGAGTGTATATTTGCTAATTTCGTGCAATTTGGTTTCAAGTAGAACATAAGGTTGACGGAAACGGGGGGACTGTGCCTACCTGATGAGCCCCAAGAAGCGCAAAATCGTTCGTGAACTGTGGATGAACTTGCAGCAACCTTATGAGTAGTGCGTTGCGAATATATACAGTGCATTTCTTGGTAAAACTGGGATGACTTCAATCGACTAAATTTATCGATTCTCATTACACCAGATTAGCTACACACTCCAAATTTCTCAACTATTCGTGTGAAACATCGGGGTCACTGATAGGGCTTCATGGGGAAAATAGTGCTAGGTGCTCACGAATGCCAGTTTACTGCGCGGCAGTGCTAATGCGCCTTAGTGGTCTTAAGGTCGTGAAATTCATCGGAATGAATCGTGAACCAGACCACACTGCCGGAAAACCTTGATATCTGGCACGCATTACCCAGTTTAGTGGCTACATCGGAGGTCATTCAGATTTCATCGTCTTTTACAAGCACTGACACCTTACGGTCTTTCTGTATGAAAGTTCGCTTTTGATTTACCTCACTGTCAGGTCAGTCACCCTATAAGCAGCCACGTGACCAGTCGATAACCAATGATTCATCAAGGATACACCATCCGGCTTCCGAACCGCCGGATGCGATAATCGATTCACAGGAATCGTTGAATAATCCTTTTACCGATGTAGTCTCAGACCGTCTACCGAATATCAAGAGAGCTAGTAGATTCTAAAGTACTGTTACACCGATAAACAGACTTAACTGCCGTTTTGGAGTACTATGTTAGGCTCATTTCTTAATAGAAACAGAGTGATCAAGCGATTATTTATGTAAATCGTCATGTCTTGTCTGGCACATGTCGATACAATGGTTTCAGTTATATCTGTCTGGGTTTTCCATCACAACATATAACCTCTACTCATGGTCAGCTTTGTACTAGACATCACACACGAGCGATGGTTATCATCGAACAAACAGTTGAATCTGACGTGAACTCAAAATGGTCATGTGTAATCTGGGGTTCGTAGGTAAAAAGTAATGGGAGTTTTGGAATCAATCAATAGGGACCAGATCTAAAGGTCAAAACCAGTGCTTTTTAGTCTTCTGATCAAGTGGGCATCCACCCATATCCATTCATTCAAAATAACTTGTCAGTATAAGTTATAACTTGGTTGGAAACATCTGTGCGCAGAGGACTGAAACAACTAAGAACTCACAAGGATCAGATGGCTAGAAAACAAGCGCGACTTGTGAATTTTCCAAAATTCTAAGTGGTGCTTTTTTCACGAGAGAATACTACTCACAAGGCTGATGAAAATTTGTATACAACTCAACACCGGTCCCGTCGTTCTTCGGGCTCACCAGGTAAACGCAGTCCTCAGGTATCCTTCAACCTTGTGTCCCAATGAACCCAGGATTTTACGAAATTAGCAAAACTCATTCACACCAATCTGAGGAAAATAAAAAATGCGAGGTTCGGCTGGGATTCAACCAAGTTAAAATCAAATTGGTTGGCGAAAGAGTATTTTTATATCAGGTTTTGTTACTCACAACGGTTGAAAAGCCAAGCCGATGTGCTTTGTCTTGGATGACTAGAATGGATGGAACTCGAGATAGCTCGGCTGTTGAGGCACAAACTTTCGGACAGGAGGGTTGGTGATTCGAACCCGACCTCTGCATCTCGACTATCCCTAGCTAGGCTTGGGCAGGCCGGTAGTATCTCGGACCTCATGCTTCCTCTGAGTAGCATGGCAATGGAGCATCGACGAGAATGGACGGGTATGCTGTGGTGCAGAATTCTCGGTCCAAATTCGGTTAGTCGATCGCGCATTGTCGGCTTAACGCAGTTAGCCTGCAGCTGATGACTGGAGCTGTACAATCTCGGATGCTAAACCATCTTTTGTGTTCGAGCCCTTGATACGAACATTCTCAGAGGACGCCCATCATCATTGGTATATGCATAGAATTCGTTTGCACGCTTCCAGGTGGAATCGAAAAGTTAGCAAACTCATCGATGACTTCATAAGACCGCGTCAGTCTAGACACAGAAGCCCACTAAAGTTGTTATTATCTGCTGATTCGCCAATCAGTTGTAATTGACTGCTTACCCCACTCCGGCGCTTAGTGCCAGAAAAAGACTCACTGAAGGGAACACAACAGCTTTATTCCGAACAGGCGAGAGCACGAGTGTAGAAATACAACGGCCTCAAGCCATTTTATTGGAAGGACACTGTCTGAAATTGGTCCAACACTGACACACTGTCTGGCTTTGATCCGAGGCTATGACACGCTGCATATTGAGGAGGCGTTGTATGTCTAGTCAGCATCTAACGGAGTTGAGAGTCTCGCAAAATTTCGGGCATTCAGCAGTTATTTCAGGAATCTGACCTTCTTGATAAAAATGATGCACCGTTCCAACCCATATCACCGTACACTTTCTACTCGCTCCGTTTGACCAGACTTCCAAGTGAGAGGTCACCTCTTAGTTAGACGCTTAAAACATAACGGATAGGGTTTTTACTCTAGCACATTCATATGCTTCGTCCGGCGATGGGATCTGATGAGCTCTGACCTACTGCACCTTCGTGGCTCTACCCCACTACTGGATCAGATCAATGAGGTCCATCGACTTTCTAGGTTATCTACCATGATCAGTCACTTGTGAAATCACGCGCCACACTGACTCACGAACTAGGACACCTGGCGCACTCATTGTCAATCAGCTGATTTCACCGATATTTACAACCAGAAAGGTATCTCCGAGTGGCATGTGCTACCAGTGAAAGGAAGAAGGCCTTCGCTGCAGAGTGATTTGTTAGAACATTCCAACTGAACAGTTACAGACTATTGGACAGGGAAGCAAAAATCTTGTTTACAAAAACTGAATATCCATCTTCTCTTTGAACACGTATTTCTGAACTTTCCCGGATATTCATTCACTGTTGCTCAAATCGAAGCAAATGCTACGAAGCGACTCCACAAATTCCGCAACAGATCCCACCTTTCAAGAAACGCAAAGCGGATTTACAAGAAAACATACTACTCGCATGTTTCCCCCATCAGTAGTATCATCGTTGCACCAGAACCTCCACGTAGGTAAAACAAAGTCGGAGTTGAGTTTCTGCGTCATATTAGTAGTACTCATTACAACATACAGACCACGACGGTCGATACTGGTCTTCAACAGATGTCCCACCTGGAGATTCACGTGTTCACAAGAATTGCATATAATATGCATGAGGCGCAGCGAATCGAACTTTAGTGGTGGAAAGAACTAATGGGAGGTTGTGTGAGCGTTCGCTAGCGCTGGCCGCCTGTCTCATTTTCTGTAGTCCGCGGATCACGAGGGCCACAAAAATAAAGTAGAAGGGGTTCCGTTATCAAAGACAACCTCCAAAAGTCCCCCACAGTCTCCAGACACCTCAAATCCAACAGGGAAAGTGGGTCAAATAGACGAACACCAGTCCACGTGCACAAATTAGACACAAGTTGCTCCAGGCTTTACAACTAAGAACACGAAAGAAATGTGAAGAATTTACAAAGGATGATAAAACAATTTTCACGTTTGTCAATGAGGGTGACTGCGTTTCCGCTTGGTTACCTAGCTTCTGTATGACCTTTGATGGCAAAGCACACAGTCAAGCCGATCGGGACGATCAACATGTATTGGTGAGTTTCACTATCCCCAACGAGAAACGATCTTTACACGGTCTCGGAAGCCTTCAATGCAGAGGGTCATTTACGTTTTCTAACCTCCCTTAGGAACGAGCAAGTCAATTTCATGTACAGACCACTTGTGAATGGTCTGCGCTGGTATTTTGGCGGAAAGGAGTGTACAATAGTGATAAGAAGGTAACTCACCTGAACCCTAACTGGTCCTTTGGGTTATGAGATCGATTGGGGTCTTCAGGTTACACCAACTACATTTGTGAGTAGGTGTATTTTGCTGATTGACTTTCGGGGAAAACCAAGGGTTGACGAAACCCTTGACTAATGAGCCTCAAAGGGCAAGGCCAACAGTAGGCTGTCAGTAGTTTTATAAGTAGTGTTTGAAATCAAAGATTCATAATGTATTCGGAAGGTTGGGAATAGGTCCGGCTAAATTCGAATAGGGACATCGTAGCCGAGGTCACGAAAACTGATGAAGGAACTTAAAAAGAAACGAATAAAATCAGGTTCTCGTGGATGTTGCATGACAAGCAGCATAGTGGAGCAAGCTCTGTCTTATCAGTCTTGATTGGGGGAAAATACATTTACATTGCTGGCATACTGTTGAAAGATCCCCGCCGTAGTTTCCCATCCGCCACTCAAATCCGACGGTTCATGAGCAAACCCTCGTCATCGTGTCAACGTGGAATGTTGTTAGGGAAAGTCCACACGGATCCCTCTTTACCGCTCGCACTCAGGTGCTCCTACGGTCGAGAAGTCCATCCCACGCAAGATTGGCCAAGAACTCAGGACGCTTGCCGGTCCGGCATCAAGGTGAGATCTGATTGGTCAAAAGTCTGGTCCCAACAGCCAATCATTACCCAGTATTGGCCGAATGCCGGCTGCCAATGGCGCATCCAGAGCGGGTCAGAGTTTCCAGAAGGTTATTTCCGCCTACGCTATGTGTTTGAAGTGCTGTACAGGTGTTCCTGACTTCTTTTTAGGCGTTAATATACCTTGTGCACCTTTGGTGGTTGTTTTGACGTGAATGCTAGCTTGGGATGCTCAGACCGATAACTAAGCTGAGGAAAACACCGTTACTACAAATGCCATTTACGCAACCTAAATTTGATTGAATTCCACTCGGCTTTTGACAAGGTAGACGAACATGGTTGACTATTCAAAAAGCTCCTTTTTACCTGTTACATATATAGGTATATTGTCAAGAACGATTCACCGGCCGAGGGCGAATGATCGCGGTATATTATTTACCACGAACATGGAGAATTTCGAAGATGTCCAAGTATCCTGACCGCCAAAATCCCCGTGGTCTTCGACGATAAAACTTATATCCGGTCATTTCCGGTGGCAGCTGTAGGGCACACGTTTGAATGGTAAAAGGACAAAACTTGCTCGAGAGCCACTCGGGAGCGATGTTGGACAAAACACAAAAAGTAGTGCATATGCAGTCACAAATGCTGCATTCCGCTACTGTTTTCCGTAACATTCATCAAGTGCTCTTTAGCCACAATTTGTCAAGTGTTAGAGCAAGGACATGCATACAGGCACGCCACAATCTTGATGTCCCTTGACTTCAAGTTCTATTCTGTCCACCAAATAGTTTTTCTCAACACGCTAGCGCAACAGCGTATGCTCCAGACCTTTGTGAGCGTCATTCGCTCTTTGTATTCATATGATTGCGTAAGCTCTCCAAAATTTCCTCTACAGACAGTTACGTCTTTCAAAGATATCCACTCTCTCCATGCTCGTTTAGTTTCGTCACTGATGAGACGATGAGCCGAACACCCGATGTCCCGGTGTTAGGATCTTTCCGAACGAGAACTTCATCGATCGGAAATATAAAGACGATATTTCGAAGGATAGTAAAAAGCACCATCATTACTTGAAATGTTGACCAAGGTCATCCAGTCCTTGGACATGTGTATCACGTTCACAAAGTGGAAAGGCATGCTCTGTGAACATACGTCTGAGAATTCAAGGAATGTGACTGAAAGTTGCTGAACGCTATAAGTACCTCGGAAGTTGCATTAACTGTGACGGTAATGCAACACACAAAGTCACCGTACAAATCTTGAGGACCAGAATTACTTCTGCTGGTCTGCTTCACTTACTGTATCAAAAAGGCACATCAATGCGTCTCGAATGACCAAGGTGGGGGGTGTATTGTTCCACGACTGCGAGACTTGAAAAAATCGTTCAGCTGTAGCACCCTTTCGGTGTCTAGCTGCCATGCCACACGAGGAAGCACGAGGGCGAGGATACTGCCAGATTGGCGAAGCCTAGACAGGGGAAGTCGAGAGGCAGAGGTCGGGTTCGAACCAAAGACTTTCCGGTCAGTAAATTCGCGTTCTAACCACTTGGGCCATCTAGCCCCACTTCGGTCAAAGAATCTGAGACATCTTCGAGTGTTTCATGCACAATATCTCCTAACTGTATTTGGAATCGACTGGGACCGGCGAATTCGCAATGAGGTGATCGGAGGACAGTTTTTTGGTGAAGCAGAGGGTGACCTACTCAAAATATATATCCAGGACTGCAAGCTGGTATGGTCGTGACACGTGTTATGCATGTCGAGTTACTGCCTACCAAGGCCAGCGCTGTTTTCTGTGCTTGATTCTGAGTGGCGGAAGCCCAGAGGTGGAGAGAAGTTGACATTACAGAAGGGAAGGCAGGATGTTAGGAAAAGTTTGGTGCTGATTGTACCTCCAAGATGGAGTCCCTGTGCCATCTCTGTGCTTGGCTGGAGATACTGAACGATATGGCGGTCAGCTGATATCAGTGACACTCATGCTGTCACTATCTGTTATGTCTGCTGATTCGCCACTCTGTGGTATCTGCTGCTGACCCGTCCAGTGCCTAGTTGCCGAAAAAAGACTCACAGAAGAGAACACAACAGCTATATTCCGAACAAGCGAGTGCAAGAGCATGAGTACGTGCGAGCTATTTTTTGGAACGACACTGTCTGAAGTTGGTCCAATGCTGACGCACACGGTCTGGCTTTGGTACGATGCTGTGACGTGCTGCAAATTACGGGGGCGTTGTCTGACCTTGATCAACGCTGACTCGCGCTGTCTGGGTATGATACAAGTCTGTGACGCGCTGCAGATGGAAGGGGCGTTGCCTGTCTGGTCAGCATCTAGCGGAGCTGAGAGTCTCGGTAGATTTCGGGTATTCAGTGGTTGCCCTCAGGAATGTGACCTTCCTGATAACTCCCCCTTTTGAACGTTTAACGTAAGATTTTCGAGGCGGATCAAGTTGTAGAGGATCCACCCTTTTTCTGGTGTGACCGGTACGGCGTCTCGGTTGCAGCATTGGATCTGTCTTGGGCGGTACATGTGAGGCAGTGCCTATAGATGCTGGTCTTGGTAAATCAAACGTTTCAAGCAGTAGGTCAACCGATATCAGTGGCATTCATGCTGTCACCATTTATCCACGTTGATTGACTGAAAATGTCTGGGGTGTAGGCACCTCGAATGTTTGTGGTAGACTAACCTTGTTGCCCCTTTTTCTCCTTCCCGCTATAAGACCTTATTCAAACAAATCTACATGGCTGCACGGCATTGGAGCACCGGTGTTCTCACCTGAGGTTGCTGTTAGTCCCGATGAGGATGGTGATGAAATTTCAGCCACAATGTTCATGTACTATAGCCACAGTAACTGGCATACGCAGTATAGTATGACTACAAATTGACCTTGGTATGGCTTTGACCATGATGTGCTCTGCTCGTAGTCATTTGGACTGGAAAACGACGCTTTTAACGTTTATCACTAAGTTTCGTTTGTCCTTGGAAGCCCCGCTTCAGATGAATGGGTGCATACTCAGTGGTTTTCTAGTCGGGCAGACGGAGAACCATTCAGCAAGATCCTTTCCGCTCAATACATCAGACCAATGTTGAATGTCTGTTAAAAGATCTTATTGGTTAGCGTGGTCATCTAGCTGTTACGATTGATATGTTTGGGGAATTATACATATATATATATATATATATATATATATATACTTGACTTCTGGTGCATCCCCGTTCCATTAAAACATTCCATCGGAAAGTTTGTCTGAATGAAGTATTTTTCCAGCAGAATTCTGTGGTTGAGAGAGAGAACTGCTTAGTTTGTCGTGCTTATAACTGCTACTCTGTCAAATGGGGGCATCACCCAAAAGGTCCGTGATTTGAACCAAAACCTGACATCCTGACCGCTCCTCTATAGGCTTGTGTAACCTGGCGGTTCCTGTGACCCCGTACCTCCCTCGCGTGGCATGGCAGCTAGGCACCGAAAGGGTTATTATTGGTAAAACTTATTATTACCGTCTATTAAACAAATCGGGGCGAACCTCCCCATAGTCCAAAAATCACTCTCTTGGGAACAACAGAAATCAGACTGTGGGATTGAAGGATCCATGTCTAGCTGTCCCCACACGTGAATGAGCGCTGAGGTATACGCTCGGTGTTTCCGACCTTTGTTGTGCAAACGTGAGTTGTTGTGCTCAGTATGAGCTTACAATATAATAATTCCATCACATACAAATTGGGACATTCGTACTCTGAATGTGCTTCCTAAATCATTCTTTGATGTATGTATGTATGTATGTATGTATGTATGTATGTATGTATGTATGTATGTATGTATGTATGTATGTATGTATGTATGTATGTATGTATGTATGTATGTATGTATGTATGTATGTATGTATGTATGTATGTATGTATGTATGTATGTATGTATGTATGTATGTATGTATGTATGTATGTATGTATGTATGTATGTATGTATGTATGTATGTATGTATGTATGTATGTATGTATGTATGTATGTATGTATGTATGTATGTATGTATGTATGTATGTATGTATGTATGTATGTATGTATGTATGTATGTATGTATGTATGTATGTATGTATGTATGTATGTATGTATGTATGTATGTATGTATGTATGTATGTATGTATGTATGTATGTATGTATGTATGTATGTATGTATGTATGTATGTATGTATGTATGTATGTATGTATGTATGTATGTATGTATGTATGTATGTATGTATGTATGTATGTATGTATGTATGTATGTATGTATGTATGTATGTATGTATGTATGTATGTATGTATGTATGTATGTATGTATGTATGTATGTATGTATGTATGTATGTATGTATGTATGTATGTATGTATGTATGTATGTATGTATGTATGTATGTATGTATGTATGTATGTATGTATGTATGTATGTATGTATGTATGTATGTATGTATGTATGTATGTATGTATGTATGTATGTATGTATGTATGTATGTATGTATGTATGTATGTATGTATGTATGTATGTATGTATGTATGTATGTATGTATGTATGTATGTATGTATGTATGTATGTATGTATGTATGTATGTATGTATGTATGTATGTATGTATGTATGTATGTATGTATGTATGTATGTATGTATGTATGTATGTATGTATGTATGTATGTATGTATGTATGTATGTATGTATGTATGTATGTATGTATGTATGTATGTATGTATGTATGTATGTATGTATGTATGTATGTATGTATGTATGTATGTATGTATGTATGTATGTATGTATGTATGTATGTATGTATGTATGTATGTATGTATGTATGTATGTATGTATGTATGTATGTATGTATGTATGTATGTATGTATGTATGTATGTATGTATGTATGTATGTATGTATGTATGTATGTATGTATGTATGTATGTATGTATGTATGTATGTATGTATGTATGTATGTATGTATGTATGTATGTATGTATGTATGTATGTATGTATGTATGTATGTATGTATGTATGTATGTATGTATGTATGTATGTATGTATGTATGTATGTATGTATGTATGTATGTATGTATGTATGTATGTATGTATGTATGTATGTATGTATGTATGTATGTATGTATGTATGTATGTATGTATGTATGTATGTATGTATGTATGTATGTATGTATGTATGTATGTATGTATGTATGTATGTATGTATGTATGTATGTATGTATGTATGTATGTATGTATGTATGTATGTATGTATGTATGTATGTATGTATGTATGTATGTATGTATGTATGTATGTATGTATGTATGTATGTATGTATGTATGTATGTATGTATGTATGTATGTATGTATGTATGTATGTATGTATGTATGTATGTATGTATGTATGTATGTATGTATGTATGTATGTATGTATGTATGTATGTATGTATGTATGTATGTATGTATGTATGTATGTATGTATGTATGTATGTATGTATGTATGTATGTATGTATGTATGTATGTATGTATGTATGTATGTATGTATGTATGTATGTATGTATGTATGTATGTATGTATGTATGTATGTATGTATGTATGTATGTATGTATGTATGTATGTATGTATGTATGTATGTATGTATGTATGTATGTATGTATGTATGTATGTATGTATGTATGTATGTATGTATGTATGTATGTATGTATGTATGTATGTATGTATGTATGTATGTATGTATGTATGTATGTATGTATGTATGTATGTATGTATGTATGTATGTATGTATGTATGTATGTATGTATGTATGTATGTATGTATGTATGTATGTATGTATGTATGTATGTATGTATGTATGTATGTATGTATGTATGTATGTATGTATGTATGTATGTATGTATGTATGTATGTATGTATGTATGTATGTATGTATGTATGTATGTATGTATGTATGTATGTATGTATGTATGTATGTATGTATGTATGTATGTATGTATGTATGTATGTATGTATGTATGTATGTATGTATGTATGTATGTATGTATGTATGTATGTATGTATGTATGTATGTATGTATGTATGTATGTATGTATGTATGTATGTATGTATGTATGTATGTATGTATGTATGTATGTATGTATGTATGTATGTATGTATGTATGTATGTATGTATGTATGTATGTATGTATGTATGTATGTATGTATGTATGTATGTATGTATGTATGTATGTATGTATGTATGTATGTATGTATGTATGTATGTATGTATGTATGTATGTATGTATGTATGTATGTATGTATGTATGTATGTATGTATGTATGTATGTATGTATGTATGTATGTATGTATGTATGTATGTATGTATGTATGTATGTATGTATGTATGTATGTATGTATGTATGTATGTATGTATGTATGTATGTATGTATGTATGTATGTATGTATGTATGTATGTATGTATGTATGTATGTATGTATGTATGTATGTATGTATGTATGTATGTATGTATGTATGTATGTATGTATGTATGTATGTATGTATGTATGTATGTATGTATGTATGTATGTATGTATGTATGTATGTATGTATGTATGTATGTATGTATGTATGTATGTATGTATGTATGTATGTATGTATGTATGTATGTATGTATGTATGTATGTATGTATGTATGTATGTATGTATGTATGTATGTATGTATGTATGTATGTATGTATGTATGTATGTATGTATGTATGTATGTATGTATGTATGTATGTATGTATGTATGTATGTATGTATGTATGTATGTATGTATGTATGTATGTATGTATGTATGTATGTATGTATGTATGTATGTATGTATGTATGTATGTATGTATGTATGTATGTATGTATGTATGTATGTATGTATGTATGTATGTATGTATGTATGTATGTATGTATGTATGTATGTATGTATGTATGTATGTATGTATGTATGTATGTATGTATGTATGTATGTATGTATGTATGTATGTATGTATGTATGTATGTATGTATGTATGTATGTATGTATGTATGTATGTATGTATGTATGTATGTATGTATGTATGTATGTATGTATGTATGTATGTATGTATGTATGTATGTATGTATGTATGTATGTATGTATGTATGTATGTATGTATGTATGTATGTATGTATGTATGTATGTATGTATGTATGTATGTATGTATGTATGTATGTATGTATGTATGTATGTATGTATGTATGTATGTATGTATGTATGTATGTATGTATGTATGTATGTATGTATGTATGTATGTATGTATGTATGTATGTATGTATGTATGTATGTATGTATGTATGTATGTATGTATGTATGTATGTATGTATGTATGTATGTATGTATGTATGTATGTATGTATGTATGTATGTATGTATGTATGTATGTATGTATGTATGTATGTATGTATGTATGTATGTATGTATGTATGTATGTATGTATGTATGTATGTATGTATGTATGTATGTATGTATGTATGTATGTATGTATGTATGTATGTATGTATGTATGTATGTATGTATGTATGTATGTATGTATGTATGTATGTATGTATGTATGTATGTATGTATGTATGTATGTATGTATGTATGTATGTATGTATGTATGTATGTATGTATGTATGTATGTATGTATGTATGTATGTATGTATGTATGTATGTATGTATGTATGTATGTATGTATGTATGTATGTATGTATTAATGTATGTATGTATGTATGTATGTATGTATGTATGTATGTATGTATGTATGTATGTATGTATGTATGTATGTATGTATGTTGTATGTATGTAAGGTCTGTATGTATATTTATATGTTTGTATATACGTACATGTGCAAT